TGAAAAAAAATTATCAAAGTCCTCGTTTGAGATCGAAGGGACTTCAGCGCATTTTTGTGTGGCAGATCAGTATTCTATTAGCCACTTTCGATTCAACCATCAATAACAGATTTTGTCGAAGGCTACTACATTCACTAACCGCTTCCCACTTTCCTCGTGCACCCGCAATTCGCTTTTAAAGATTTGACTCCACCATCAGGAAGATCGAGTCGGGGGCTACCACATTTCCTTTGACGGTACCCCCTTCCGACGTCCCGTTCACCCGCAATTCGCGATTGAAGATTTGACTCCACCATCAGTGAGATCGTGTCGCGGGCTACCACATTCCCTTTACGGTACCCACTTCCGACGTCCCGTTCACCCGCAATTCGCGTTTGAAGATTTGACTCCACCATCAGGAAGATCGTGTCGGGGGCTACCACATTCCCTTTGACGGTACCTCCTTCCGACGTCCCGTTCACCCGCAATTCGCGTTTGAAGATTTGACTCCACAATCAGGAAGATCGTGTCGGGGGCTACCACATTTCCTTTGACGGTACCCCCTTCCGACGTCCCGTTCACCCGCAATTCGCGATTGAAGATTTGACTCCACCATCAGTGAGATCGTGTCGCGGGCTACCACATCCCCTTTTACGGTACCCCCTTCCGACGTCCCGTTCACCCGCAATTCGCGTTTGAAGATTTGACTCCACCATCAGGAAGATCGTGTCGGGGGCTACCACATTCCTTTGACGGTACCCCCTTCCGACGTCCCGTTCACCCGCAATTCGCGTTTGAAGATTTGACTCCACCATCAGGAAGATCGTGTCGCGGGCTACCACATTCCCTTTGACGGTACCCACTTCCGACGTCCCGTTCACCCGCAATTCGCGTTTGAAGATTTGACTCCACCATCAGGAAGATCGTGTCGGGGGCTACCACATTTCCTTTGACGGTACCCCCTTCCGACGTCCCGTTCACCCGCAATTCGCGTTTGAAGATTTGACTCCACCATCAGGAAGATCGTGTCGGGGGCTACCACATTTCCTTTGACGGTACCCCCTTCCGACGTCCCGTTCACCCGCAATTCGCGATTGAAGATTTGACTCCACCATCAGTGAGATCGTGTCGCGGGCTACCACATTCCCTTTTACGGTACCCACTTCCGACGTCCCGTTCACCCGCAATTCGCGTTTGAAGATTTGACTCCACCATCAGGAAGATCGTGTCGGGGGCTACCACATTCCCTTTGACGGTACCCCCTTCCGACGTCCCGTTCACCCGCAATTCGCGTTTGAAGATTTGACTCCACCATCAGGAGATCGTGTCGGGGGCTACCACATTCCCTTTTACGGTACCCACTTCCGACGTCCCGTTCACCCGCAATTCGCGTTTGAAGATTTGACTCCACCATCAGGAAGATCGTGTCGGGGGCTACCACATTCCCGTTGACGGTACCCCCTTCCGACGTCCCGTTCACTCGCAATTCGCGTTTGAAGATTTGACTCCACCATCAGTGAGATCGTGTCGCGGGCTACCACATTCTCTTTTACGGTACCCACTTCCGACGTCCCGTTCACTCGCAATTCACTTCTATTGGCGACACGAGAAAGAGAGACAGCGATTCGAGATTCACGAAACGTTAAACCGCGTGAGTTCGCAACGGAAGGTAAAAGGCGCCTGACTACCTCTCGAAGACGCGCGCGCGCGCCGCGCAAAAGGTCGTTAATTTCGCCCCTATGACAAAAAACAAAATTCCGCCACGCAGGAGTTGTGCGCGTTTACAACATCTTTCCGACGACACCAATTTCAAAAGAATCGGACCAAAACTGTAGTAGAAGATAGGAAAAAACTGAAAAACCTTCACGTTAGTATACTACGCTCGAGGATGACGCCCAGATGTCGCCAACCCCACATCATGTAGCCATGTCCCTAAGGTTGACAAATTTCACGGCCCTGTAGATACACGTACACCCGTTGCCTTTCTACAAGAGTTCTTCTACGCGCCCACATTTGCTGCCAGCCAGCCAGCCAGCCAGCCAGCCAAAGTGAGATTAAAAGCTACTTTTTACAAAAAAAATTTTTTGCAAAAATGCGCTAAAAATG